AATATGGAATTTCATTGTTTGCTAATTTTATACAATGATTTTTCACTGGCATCAACGTTCTGTTAGTGTGAACTTGGGAATTAAGACACAAGTAATCTTGCCACTTTATTTCTCCATTCAATGTATAATACTAACCGCCAAATCTAGATTTTATTCGGATTAATGTCACTTACTAATTCATAGAATTTTATCGACATCTTAATTTGTTTGTGACCTAATGTTATTTTGATTGGCATTGAAATTTAAAGAGTCAATAGTCCCTTATTAACCTTTCAACTTTTTAGCTAGTTTCTGAAATAATACTTTATATGTATTAGTTTAATGTCCATGAGAGAAAGAGATCCACAACATGATATTAGATCTTTGGCATGTTGACTTCATGGATGACTAGGGACATGTCCACTTGCCATTTTAAAAGTGTGCGCTAGGGCTCAAGGTAAATAAATCTTCCTTTGTATTCATGCATATATTACATTGTTAAATGTATAAACATGTTACCTAAATTTGCTATTATGTGGACATGATATTTGATTATTACGTTTTATATCAATAATGTTTCTCATGACGTTCTTGCACGTCAATGCATCTATAGGCATACATGAAGTTTCCAAGAACTAAAAAATTTCCAAATGTGAATGAGTCAAAGAATATTTAAAAAGATATATATCTCGAATGTTTTTGTTAAGAGGTGTATGTCTTTGCCATGAGAAGTGTGAGTGGAAAATAGGGCGTCATCTGATCATTTGACCAATGTTTAGTTTTGAAGGTTTAATGTACATGTTAATCATTTTACAGTCCTGTTAATAGATTGAATCATGTTCCAAATAACAATGTTACGTTGCATTCTTATTGGCTAGACGGTACACTAAGCGACCTCACAATATTAATGTTAAATTTTAAAACAAATTGAAGGAAAAGGGGATACATTTTACGAAAGACTATTTATTTTAAAGTAATTTATATGTATATCATAGGTATGCATCATAGGCATAAGGTTTAATTACTGAATGTTAACTTATACCACGTTAATCTTTTCCTTTTTTAGATGATGAATGCAAAATGATTCAAAACAATTACTTTTGGTGACATGTACTTAGTACTAACATGAATATTGATTTCATTTTGAAGATGAAGTTAATATTTAATTTAACTGTCTTAATTTTCATTAAGCACAAATTATTTTTATAAATGCAGTCATCAATGTTTATCGTGTTAAAAAAAATGATATTTCGTATTTATGATTTTAAGAGAAAATTTCTTCCAATCTAGAGTATCTCGATTTGGAATCTTTTAGGGTATCAAAATGCCCCTGAGGGTAGCATTATCCAAAGGCAGCACTCTTAATCTGAATTTCAACAAGAACTTAGTTTGAATACCGTATTTATTGCAAGTAACCCCCTGGCCACCAACCAAACCTCTTTTCATTATAAAAGAGCTCATTTAATCAAATCTAGTGATCACGTTTTTCTTTTGTGTCTTCTTTTCTTTTCTTATCGTTTCATTTTAGTTTTATTTATTTAATTAAAAGTAAGGACATTGTAGTTTTTTAATCAAAAGGGGTGGGGTGGGGTGGGGTGGGGGGGAGGACAGAAATCATAATAAATGGATCATCTGCTCGAATAATCGTATGTAGATCCACGACAAGAAATACATTAGAGACCGAAGTCACCCATAAGCCATAGATTAGGGATCATTTGTGCCCATTTCCATAATATTTTGAGAAATTTTATTTTTTTGGGTTTTTTAATTTTAAGAAAATTATTTTATTTGAATTTCTTTGATTTTAATAATCACCAACTAAATTTCCTTTTAATCCTAGCCATCCTAATTAAAAATAATAATAATAATAATAATAATAATAATAATAATAATAATAATAATAATAATAATAATAATAATAATAATAATAATAATAATAATAATAATAAATTCCTGATGATTTTAAATTTTGATTGAATCTTTTCTCAAGTCGTTTTGTGAAATTGCCTTTTTTTTGTCGCAATTTTGTTCCCACGGGTACTACTAGTCTCTCTTGAGATATTTGTTTAATTTTACCATTATAAAATCAATCAGGATTGATCGGTTTAATAGGAAAAAACTGAATGAGACCAAAAGGCAATCTAGTTATTATATAACAAAAATTTCTTAGAAAAATGACCCGCAATCGGCGCAATCAGTAAATTAATTATGATTTTACCAGTTTTTCCACATTACTTTTTATGAAAGACAAACAAAAAAAATTCCTTCTCGACATAGATATTCTTCATTTCCACACCACTGTGTGATATAATCAATCATGAAATTTAGGTTTCCTTTAACATAAAAAAATTACCTCATTGATTAACTGTCAAGCAGAGACGTGGGAATTTGGGACAAAATGATACCTATTAGAACTGTAGTCTGGGTTGCCAACAGAGAATTTCTTCTAAACAATACAGCATGAATGTTGAAGGTCATCGAGCCAGGACTTCTGGTTCTTTTTGTTTTACAATTTGAACTTCATAAAATTGTTACCAAATTTAAATTATATATAAATATAAGGATACACCAATTGTTTTATTGATGGGATTGCTCTTCCAAAACCATGTCGCTTTTTTGCACTTTGAAAAAGTAAAATTGTTAACAAATTTAAATTATATGTAAATATAAGGATATGTCAATTGTTTTATTGATGGGATTGCATATCAATGACAAAAAATATAACGTAGTCCCTTTTTGACAATGTTTTAACAACGGTTATTGTTTATGCATTCTGTTGGAACAACAATTTCAATCATATTATTGCTTTTATATTCATTATCTTGTTCTATTTGCCTCCATAATAGATGAAATGTTAATTCTATATCCATATTTGTGAAAAAATTCAAATAAAATAATGTGAGACTTTTTTTTTTTTTAAAGAGTTACATGGTTTGTCACTTTTAATTTTTAGCAAATTAACACATACACAGAAAATACAAATAAAGTGGTACATCACGTCACTATTTAATGTAAAACAAGATTTGAATCCATATTCACATCTATTTTTTTTAATACACATATATGCATTTCTTTTATTGATTCTAAATAATTCAAATGAGATAAGCTGTGATCTTTTTAGAAAAAAAGTGGCAGAATGTCACCTTCAAAATCTAAAATCTTAATTCATATGTAAAATACAAAATAAAGTGTTATATTATATCACTTTTTAATATAAAACAATGTTTCAATTCATATCCATATTTACATTTTCACAAACACACTTGTTTGCATGTATTTAATTGAAACAAAGGAATTTAAATGAGACAGATTGCAAACTTTTCAAAGTGAGAGTGCTCCACTTTTCCCTTCTCATTTTCTTAAACACGTTACATGCATCACTTGAATTGATTAAAAAAGTTGATTTTTCATATATATTAACTCAATCGAATTCACACAAATCTAAATGTTACTGTATACTAATTCAAAATTCTTAATCTAAAGATAAAATATCATATGTGCTAGAACCAAAAATAAAAAAATAAAATATAATGAAATGAAACAAAGTATAAACTAATTGAATAAAAAATTAGAAATAATACAAACCTACAGATTTGAATTGATTATTTACAAATTTGGAGGAAAAAAATTTGAAGAAAAAGGTAGTTAAAGCAACTCTTGATCTCTTTTGGGCTTGATTTGTACAAGATCTCCGCTTATAATTTCGATTTTGCTTGATTTGGAGCTTGGTGGATTCGAATTTCTGCTGAATTTGGAGCTTTATGTTTTTTATTTCTACACCATATTTCTTACAGTTTTGGAGGTGAAATATTAGTATTTATATTTTATTTCATATTTACAAATTTTTCAATTGGTATTAGGATACAACTTAAATCTCTCTAAAGGAAGGTTATGTGTTCGAATCCTGGAAATGCGGCAGAAAGTTGTGAGGGATAAAAAATTTCCTCCCAAAATGAGTAGTATGTAAATTAATGGTTTGGACTCAAAGGCTGGGTCAGGGCAAATATCCTCCCAAAGCGGACAGTACGTAAGTTAATATCTTGAACACAAAAGCTAGATTGTTACAAAAAATTAGTGAGGGGTAAAATGACTAGGCTCTCCCAAAATAAATAGTACGTAAGTTAACTGTTTAGACATGGAGACTCAATCGTTACGAAAATGTGCATTTTTTGCAACGATCCAAGCCTTGTGCTCGACCGTTCTCTTATGTACCGTTCAATTTAGGAGGGCATTTATCCTCTTATCCCTCCCAACTTTCTGTTGCATTCCCCAAGATCCGAAAACATGACCTCCCATTATTCTCAGTACTCAGCTTAACTATCTCTTAATGGAAGGGCCATGAATTCAAATCTTGAGGATGCGACAAAAATCATAAGGGGTAAGACAGACTCAGGTTCTCTCATAGGGGACAATACGTGAGTTAACAACTTGAGCATAGAGGCCGAATCATTATAATTTAAAAATCACTGAAGACCAATTTCCTCAAAACCGATTCAAAAAATACTCCCATGCATTAGAGTTTGGGTGAAGGAATAGGGACAGAAAACGGGGGAGGAATAGAAAGGATTTTGGGGTATTGACTTGCGGTTGAAATTAGTTTTAAAAAGAAAAGAATTTTTCTACTTTTCATATAATCTCAAGATTGGGCCTAATTTTCCTCATTAAATTTTCGCAAGTTCGCCTATACATAATTACAGTTGATATAGTTTTCAAAAAAAAAAAAAAATTATAGTTGACATTTTAAAAATTATTGTTGACATTTTTCTATTTAAGCTAAACTAACAATTATTAACTGCAAGCATAAATAGAAAGACCCGCTTATCCCAGGTCAATGTCAACGGGAATGGATAAGGGAAAAGTGGAAAAAGGTCGAAGCATGCATAGAATTTTGAAGAATATTATATTCTGCCTGTCTGTAATGGAAATATTATTTTTAATACTCATGATCATTAATCCATGTGTACATATATCAATTCTGTTAAACAAGAAGAACAGACGGAGATACTGTCAGAAATAGAACCATGTCGAACACAGATTTCCCCTTACTTTTTGTCTTAACCTTCTTAATGTCTGTCCACAAGATTTCCAATACAATGGATACTATAGATACTACACAGATCCTTAAAGATGGTGAGACCATTGTTTCATCTGATGGAACCTTTGAATTGGGATTTTTTAGCCCTAAAAGTTCAACGAATCGATATGTGGGCATGTGGTACAAGAAAATAACAGTTATGACTGTAGTATGGGTTGCCAACAGAGAAGTTCCACTTACAAATACATCAGGAGTCTTGAAGGTTATCGAGCCAGGACTTATAGTTCTTCAAAATGACAATAATGGCGTTATCATATGGTCTTCTAACACATCACAGCCTGTGAAAACTCCGGTGGCAAAATTGCTGGACTCAGGCAACCTTGTCGTGAAAGATGCAAATGATGATGACCCCGAGAATTTCCTCTGGGAGAGTTTTAATTATCCGACTGATACAATTTTCTCAGGAATGAAGTTCGGTTGGAACTTTAAAACTGGTCAAGAAGTGTATCTATCATCATGGAAGAGTGACGATGATCCATCTTCGGGAGATTTTAATTATCACTTTGATCCTACTGGTTATCCACAACATGTCTTGAAAAAAGGTTCAGTGGTGCAGTTTAAAAGTGGACCTTGGAATGGACTACGCTATAGCGGGGCTCCAAACTTGAGGTATAATCCTATTTACAAATACGGAGTAATTCTAAACAAAAATGAGGCGTACTTTTCTTTTGAGCTCCTAAACAGTTCAATTATTTCAAGATTTACCTTGAGCGAATGTGGTGTAGGACAGCGCATGACATGGATTAATCGAACACAAGAGTGGACAGTTTACATCACAGCTCCAACAGATAATTGTGACATTTACGGATTGTGTGGTGCATTTGGTAGTTGCAATATTGCGAATTCTCCGGTTTGTGGATGTTTAGATAGATTTCAGCCTAAAGATCCAGAAGGATGGGAGAATGCAGATTGGTCGAAAGGGTGTGGTCGCAGAACTCCCTTGAATTGCCAAAAGGGAGACGTATTTTTCAAGTATTCTGATATTAAATTGCCCGACACACAATATTCCCGGTTTAACAAGAGTATGACACTGAACGAATGCAAGGTAGCATGCCTTAGAAATTGCGCTTGTACGGCTTAATCTAGCTTGGATATAAGCACAGGGGGAAGTGGATGCCTACTTTGGTTTGGAGACCTAGTAAACATCAAAGAACTAGATGAGGAAGGCCAAGATATTTACATCAGGATGGCTTCTACAGAATTAGGTTAGAATTTATAAAAATAAAATTTACTCTTCTTTTCTTATTCAATTGATTTGTATTCTTCTCATTTTCAAGGTTTTAACATCAATGAAAATTAATCCATTTTTTATTTGCATATAAAATTTTGCAGAGTTAAAAGATAGGAAAAGAGAAGTTCTTGAAGTAAGTTTGTCATTGTCAATAGGAATGGTTCTGATTGGGCTTTGTCTGATGCTGTTTCTTTGGAAAAGGACGAAAAGAAACCACATGCTGAGAAAAGGAGGTAAGAAAAATCTACCATTTTCCACTGAAGACAACCGGAGAAACAAAGCTCCTTCTTTTACTTCCAATTCAACGCTTTTGTTTCAGGCAGGCTAGTAGACAACTTTATGAACCGTAAAAATGATGAAATTCACAACGAAGGCATACAGCTACCACTGTTTGATTTAAATACTTTAACTAAAGCTACAGATAATTTTTCAATTGATAACAAGCTTGGAGAGGGTGGGTTTGGACCTGTTTACAAGGTAATAATTTTTTTTCATTTTTCATTTATAGTTTTTCTAGGGATCTATGCTCTCAGATATTTATGTTTTGTCCCAAATTTATGGATGTTCAATCGATGAACAGCATTAAATAACTTGTCTGCATAATCATATGGAAATTTACTCTTCTTTTTATGTAAAACGAAGTCTTTTAATACAAAACAATATCGCACTGGTCACGTGAAAAGTGAGTGGAAGATGATTTGTAAAGATAGAAATAGTGAGGAATAATTTCAACTGTAAGGATAAGTTGGGGGAGAAAATAATAATTTATTAGGAAAGATAGTGGATTGCCATTTTGTATTGTTTGAGTTTTATCTCTTTATTTGCATCATGTTTTCTCATGAAGTGAAACTTGATATCCTTTTCTCCTGATAAATTAGTTTGATGATTTTATTTTAAGCGACAAAATTTTTCTTCGTTTTCAAATACTCGACAAATTTTTTCTTTGAATCAAAAGTCCGTCATATAACTTTTTCTTTTACAAATGTCACATTAGGAGTGGCAATTGGCCTTTATTTTCACAAGATGAGCCTAGCTCAGGCTCATTCAAGCTGCTCCAAGGTCGAGCCAAGCTCATGAGGAGACTCAATTATTCTAAATGCAATTATTGTTTTATGCATCCATGGTGGGCCTATATAGTGAGTAGACACAATTATATAATATTTTTTATTAATACCTTCTCATAAGTATGATGTGAAAGAGATAGCATCGTCATATTTTAGTAAATCACGTATTAGCATTTTTTTTCTTGTGAAATAATCAATGCAATTAGAACAAATATTATTTCTACTTATTGGAACGTACCTTGGTTGTAGATGATCCTATGCGAATTTCATGAAATGTTTATTGTCCACTATGTTTATCGACAACTCAACACCGACTACGAACTTGACCATTGTTTCACGGCTTTTTTCTCTTGAATAGATCCATGTGTTGAGGGTACTAGGAGTACCAAAATGAAGTTGTGTTTGTGTTTGACCAATAAATCCATGTTTGACTGAACATTTCTTATAATGCCGATTGAGGTGGGTAGTTCTGATTCCACTAGCCATGCCAATTTCGTCTGACAGTACTTATATACTGCTTTGGATTCTTGATTTCGTCTACTAGACGACTCGTCAAAACCAATTTGAAGTAGTTTGTTTAAAAATTCCTTACGTCTCATATCAACTACTTTGAGTTTTTCTTCATCAGTGTTATCCAAATCAACTGGTCTACTACTCCCATGCAAATCTTCAACCCCCAAACCATCGAAATTGGGACGTTATTAAGATCGATAAAATTATTATCGAACATAGGAGACATGAATTGTGGTGTCAATGGTGAGTTACCACCACCAAACATAACCTCAACATAGCCATTGTCATCCACTTATAAAAAGAAATTGGAAGGTATAAATAGAAAATAATAGATGAAGAACTGAATTGAGAACGAAGTGAAAAAAATATGAAATTAAAAATATACAATTGTGTAACTTATGTTTGTATGAGTAATGTTGAATTGAATTGAGAATGAGATATTTAGACTGTAAAATGTAGATGACAGATTTATAGAATTTTTTAAAAATTATATATAGTCAAAGTGACCATTGAGGACCCCAGTCGTGGCTCATGGGCTCGATCCACTTGTCGCTCAATCAAATGCTTGGCTAGACCAATTACCACCCCTATGCCACATGGAAAATAATTGCTGTTATATTATCAATTTGTCTTCCTTGAGTTTCTTCGTTTTTATAATTTTCTTTAAATTTTCTCTCACATTCTTTTAATTTCTGAGATCACATATTAACTTTAGATTGAAAAGCATTATCCGTGTCAATTTTATAGCGTCTTTCTAATTTTTTTTCATGAGCTTATAGTGAATACATTAATTCAGCAGCTGTTAATTTATCTATATTTTTAAACTCTTCCACAATTGCAATGGTGGATCATACTTTTCTATATAAGTAATTAAATTTTTTCCAGGAACTTCATTTTCAAAAATGTCATCTACATAAGCTTTTAGTTGATACAATTTCAAATACTCTTGAACAATAATCTTTTATAGTCTCCAAATCTTCCATTTTTAGATTTTCATAATTCCTTCTTAAAGTTTGAAGCTTGTAAGTGCGTACTTTGTTATTGTCGAAGAACTCCTCCTTCAATTTACCCATGTTGCTTTCGCCATTTCAGCTCTCGTCATTCTTGGAAAATACTCATTAGTTAAGCTCATTTGTGGAGCAAGAAAAGCTAGAAAATCCTTTTGTTGATTCTTTTTTAGTCATATGCGACAGATTTATTATTATTATTATTATTATTATTTAACAGTCACCGATGACATCCCACAAAATTTGCGCATAAAAATCTTTATTTTAATTGACCAAAAATCATAGTTATCTTCATGAAACATTGGGATGGAAATATATGAGCAAAAAGCGTCAACCATGATATAAGCTTACGCTCAATATAAATCAAACATAGCTTTGATAACAATGATGGTTATATTATAAGTAGGTGAAATTTGATTTAGATTAAAATGGTTTGGAGAGTTTTGTATGAGGGAAAATTTATAGAAATAGAAATAGAAATAGAAAAGAGTAATTTTAATTGTAAGGATAATTCAGAGGAGAAATTACAATTTATTAGGAAAGATAGTTGATTGCACCATGTTCTACAATAAAAGAGGCTTTTTTCTTACATTTACATTTTTAATCCTATTGGGTTATATATAGCTTCCCATGTCAGTGGAAATTGTGTTCCATTTTCATCATTCTAGATTGTTCTTGTACATAATGTGGTGTCTATAATGTTGTCCACCCCCTTACATGGAGGGAGACTCACTTTGGATAAATTATATTTTATTTGAAATGGATCCCTCTCCATGTAAAAGGGGTGGACACTGTTATGGACATTCTAATGTACGTGTAGTGTCACCCAAAACAAATACCTAACATGCATAAGTTTTGATGTAGGGCCTACTCGAGGAAGGGCAAGAAATTGCTGTCAAACGACTTTCAAGAAATTCCCGACAAGGACTTGATGAGTTCAAGAATGAAGTTATCTGTATAGCTAAACTACAACATCGAAATCTCGTGAAACTTCTAGGATGCTGCATTCAAAGAGAAGAAAATATGGTGGTTTATGAATACATGTCTAACAGAAGTCTTGACTTGATTCTATTTGGTAAGAAATGTTCACATCACCCAATCAACTCAATAGCACATTCTATCACGAGTATCAATTCCACATAATGATATAAAAAAGTTTCACATGTTATTCAAATCCCTAAGCAAAACTTTTCTAATGAATTGTAATAATAGAGTACAGGACATTACTCTTTTGCAAGAGATGAATCTTTATGCTATTGTATGCTTGAAGATATGTAGTTATAGGTATTGGATTGGAGTTCTAATTTCCAATTATCCAACAAATATATTATCCATATGAGCAGAGAAAAACTTTTGGCAGATCCAATGCAAAGTACAGAGCTTGATTGGCCTAAGCGCTTTCACATTATAATTGGCATTGCTCGAGGACTTATGTATCTCCATCAAGATTCCTGCCTTAGAGTCATCCATAGAGACCTCAAAGCTAGTAATATTTTGCTAGATTCTGACATGAGCCCTAAGATATCAGACTTTGGCATGGCTAGAAGTTTTGAAGGAAATGACACTGGAGCTAACACGAGCCGGGTAGTTGGAACATAGTAATAATCTCTTTCTGATAATAAATGAAATTCTCCTCTGTTGCTTATAACTTAGTATCCTGATAAATTTTATCTTGCAGTGGCTACATGTCCCCAGAATATGCTATAGATGGTCTATTCTCCGTGAAATCCAATGTATTTAGCTTTGGGGTTATGGTGCTTGAGATAGTAACTGGCAAAAGAAATAGAGGATTTTCGCATAGAGATCACCATCACAACCTTCTTGGACATGTAAGCATAGTTTACTTATTTTTGTATGCTAAGTAACAAAATTATTCCTTTTAGCATTTGGATTCAAAAAGATGGTCCTTTTAACTGAGTTCAATTAGTACAGGCATGGATGCTATATAAGGAAGGAAGGTCTTTGGAATTAGTCGATGCTTGCCTTAGCATCTCGGGCTATTGGTCAGATGTATTGCGATCTATCCATGTGGGATTGTTATGTGTTCAACAATGTCCACAAGACAGGCCAAGCATGTCTTCTGTAGTGCTCATGTTTGGCAATGAAGGTGCGTTGCCTCAAGCGAAACAACCTGGTTTTTTCGCTGGAAGAGATTTAGTTACTGCCAAAAATTCAACTAGCACAAATGCAGCATGTTCAATAAACCAAGTCACCATTACACTATTAGAAGCACGATAAATTGATAAGTTACAATAGTTGCCAATATATATCTTTTATCATTCTTGTTCCACCAGCATACTGAATTGTATATCCCTTGAAAAAACGTGATGGCACACTTGTTTGTTATGCCGGTTTACCACGCATATTTGTTCTTTTCATTTCATTTCATTTTTTTAATTTAAATAAAAATGGGGGCATTGAAGTTTTTTAAATCCAAAGAGAGAGAGAGAGAGATCGAAACTACTGTACAAAAAAAAGGGGAAAAAAGCACGGAAGTCGTAAAAATGGACCATTTGCTCAGATAACCATAGGTAGAGGACTTTCATGACAGGAAAATACATTAGNTGGAGCAAGAAAAGCTAGAAAATCCTTTTGTTGATTCTTTTTTAGTCATATGCGACAGATTTATTATTATTATTATTATTATTTAACAGTCATCGATGACATCCCACAAAATTTGCGCACAAAAATCTTTATTTTAATTGACCAAAAATCATAGTTATCTTCATGAAACATTGGGATGGAAATATATGAGCAAAAAGCGTCAACCATGATATAAGCTTACGCTCAATATAAATCAAACATAGCTTTGATAACAATGATGGTTATATTATAAGTAGGTGAAATTTGATTTAGATTAAAATGGTTTGGAGAGTTTTGTATGAGGGAAAATTTATAGAAATAGAAATAGAAATAGAAAAGAGTAATTTTAATTGTAAGGATAATTCAGAGGAGAAATTACAATTTATTAGGAAAGATAGTTGATTGCACCATGTTGTACAATAAAAGAGGCTTTTTTCTTACATTTACATTTTTAATCCTATTGGGTTATATATAGCTTCCCATGTCAGTGGAAATTGTGTTCCATTTTCATCATTCTAGATTGTTCTTGTACATAATGTGGTGTCTATAATGTTGTCCACCCCCTTACATGGAGGGAGACTCACTTTGGATAAATTATATTTTATTTGAAATGGATCCCTCTCCATGTAAAAGGGGTGGACACTGTTATGGACATTCTAATGTACGTGTAGTGTCACCCAAAACAAATACCTAACATGCATAAGTTTTGATGTAGGGCCTACTCGAGGAAGGGCAAGAAATTGCTCTCAAACGACTTTCAAGAAATTCCCGACAAGGACTTGATGAGTTCAAGAATGAAGTTATCTGTATAGCTAAACTACAACATCGAAATATCGTGAAACTTCTAGGATGCTGCATTCAAAGAGAAGAAAATATGGTGGTTTATGAATACATGTCTAACAGAAGTCTTGACTTGATTCTATTTGGTAAGAAATGTTCACATCACCCAATCAACTCAATAGCACATTCTATCACGAGTATCAATTCCACATAATGATATAAAAAAGTTTCACATGTTATTCAAATCCCTAAGCAAAACTTTTCTAATGAATTGTAATAATAGAGTACAGGACATTACTCTTTTGCAAGAGATGAATCTTTATGCTATTGTATGCTTGAAGATATGTAGTTATAGGTATTGGATTGGAGTTCTAATTTCCAATTATCCAACAAATATATTATCCATATGAGCAGAGAAAAACTTTTGGCAGATCCAATGCAAAGTACAGAGCTTGATTGGCCTAAGCGCTTTCACATTATAATTGGCATTGCTCGAGGACTTATGTATCTCCATCAAGATTCCTGCCTTAGAGTCATCCATAGAGACCTCAAAGCTAGTAATATTTTGCTAGATTCTGACATGAGCCCTAAGATATCAGACTTTGGCATGGCTAGAAGTTTTGAAGGAAATGACACTGGAGCTAACACGAGCCGGGTAGTTGGAACATAGTAATAATCTCTTTCTGATAATAAATGAAATTCTCCTCTGTTGCTTATAACTTAGTATCCTGATAAATTTTATCTTGCAGTGGCTACATGTCCCCAGAATATGTTATAGATGGTCTATTCTCAGTGAAATCCGATGTATTTAGCTTTGGGGTTATGGTGCTTGAGATAGTAACTGGCAAAAGAAATAGAGGATTTTCGCATAGAGATCACCATCACAACCTTCTTGGACATGTAAGCATAGTTTACTTATTTTTGTATGCTAAGTAACAAAATTATTCCTTTTAGCATTTGGATTCAAAAAGATGGTCCTTTTAACTGAGTTCAATTAGTACAGGCATGGATGCTATATAAGGAAGGAAGGTCTTTGGAATTAGTCGATGCTTGCCTTAGCATCTCGGGCTATTGGTCAGATGTATTGCGATCTATCCATGTGGGATTGTTATGTGTTCAACAATGTCCACAAGACAGGCCAAGCATGTCTTCTGTAGTGCTCATGTTTGGCAATGAAGGTGCGTTGCCTCAAGCGAAACAACCTGGTTTTTTCGCTGGAAGAGATTTAGTTACTGCCAAAAATTCAACTAGCACAAATGCAGCATGTTCAATAAACCAAGTCACCATTACACTATTAGAAGCACGATAAATTGATAAGTTACAATAGTTGCCAATATATATCTTTTATCATTCTTGTTCCACCAGCATACTGAATTGTATATCCCTTGAAAAAACGTGATGGCACACTTGTTTGTTATGCCGGTTTACCACGCATATTTGTTCTTTTCATTTCATTTTATTTTTTTAATTTAAATAAAAATGGGGGCATTGAAGTTTTTTAAATCCAAAGAGAGAGAGAGAGAGATCGAAACTACTGTACAAAAAAAAGGGAAAAAAAGCACGGAAGTCGTAAAAATGGACCATTTGCTCAGATAACCATAGGTAGAGGACTTTCATGACAGGAAAATACATTAGGGACAGAAGTCACACATAGGCCATAGGTGAGGGACCATTCGTGCCCATTTCCATAATATTTTGGGGATATTTTAATGTTTCAGGGATTTTTAATTTTTTGAAAATTATTTTATTTAGACTGGTTTTAATAATTACCAACTAAATTTCCTTTTTACCCTAGCCATCTTAATTTTAGAAAACATTTTAAATTGTGATTGAATCGTTTCTCAAGTGGTTGTGTGAAATTGCCTTTTTTCCGCAATTTTATTCTAATGGTACAACTCATCTCTCTTGACATATTTGTCTAATTTTACATTATAAAATCAATCGGGAACGACCAATTTAACTGGAAAAATCTGAAATGAGACCAAAAAGCAATAGTTATTATATAATAAAAATAGCCTAGAAAACAATCCGTAATTAGCGCTTTCATTAGAAACTAGGTTAATCGATTAGGATTTTTTCGGTTTTCCACATAACCTTTCAATGAAAGGACTTCTCGACATATTCTTCATTTCCACACCAAAGCATATATTCTTCATTTTCACATCACGTCATGATATGGTCATGTTCTTGGAAATTTAGGTTTCTTTTAACATAAAAAATTACTCCATCTCGATTCTTAAACTGTCAAACTGATACGTCGAAATTTGGTACAAAAAGATACCTGATAGCACTCTAATCTGGGTTGCCGACGGAAAATTTCAGCTAAACAATACATCATGAATGTTGAAGGTCATCGAGCATGGACTTCTGGTTCTTTTCGACAATACCCGTAACATTATATGTTGAAGGTCCGGTGAAAAATCCGCATGATTTTTACTGAACTGTACTGGTTAATCTATTATGCTTTCAGAAGAGTGAAACATTTCTTAGCATTTGAGCTTTATATTTTCGTTTAAGCAAAACGGAGGGACAATTATTAACTGCAAGCATAAATAGAAAGACCTGCTTATTCCAGGTCAATGTCAATGGAAATGGAAACGGAAATGGGGAAAAGTCGAAAAAGGTCGAGGCACGAGATTTTTGAAGAATATTATGCCTTTTCTGCGACGGAAATATTATTTTAATCCTCATGATCATTAGTCCGTGTGTACACGCACCTCATACTCGGTTAATATGCGAACTAATTCTATTAAACAAGAAGAACTGACAGGGATACTGTCAGAACTAGAACCACGAAGATATCCAATGCAGATTTTCCCTCACTTTTTGTCTTAACCTTCTTAATGTCTGTCCACAAGATTTCCAATACAATGGATCCTATAAATACTGCACAGATCCTTAAAGATGGCGAGACCATTGTTTCATCTAGTGGAACCTTTGAATTGGGATATTTTAGAACTGGAAATTCCACGAATCGATATGTGGGCATGTGGTACAAGACGATTGCAGTTATTACTGTAGTATGGGTTGCCAACAGAAAAGTTCCACTTACGAATACATCAGGAGTCTTGAAGGTTGTCGAGCCAGGACCTCTAGTTCTTCAAAACGACACTAATGGCATTATCATATCATCTTCTAACACATCATGACCCGTGAAAACTCCGGTCGTAAAATTGCTGGACTCAGGAAACCTTGTCCTGAAAGATACAAATGATGATGATGACACTAAGAATTTCCTATGGGAGAATTTTAATTATCCGGCTGATACAATTTTCTCAGGAACGAAGTTCGGTTGGAACTTTGGAACTGGTCAAGAAGTGCATCTATCATCATGGAAGAGTAATGATGATCCATCTTCGGGAGATTTTACTTATCACTTTGATCCTATTGGTTATCCACAATGTGTCTTCGGGAGAGTTTTAATTATCCGACTGATACAATTTTCTCAGGAACGAAGTTCGGTTGGAACTTTAGAACTGGTCAAGAAGCGTATCTATCATCATGGAAGAGTAATGATGATCCATCTTTGGGAGATTTTACTTATCACTTTGATCCTACTGGTTATCCACAACATGTCTTGAAAAAAGGTTTGCTGGTGCTGTTTAAAAGTGGACCTTGGAATGAACTCTGCTATAGTGGGAAGCCTAACATGAAGTATAATCCTATTTACATATATGGATTAGTTCTAAACAAAAACGAGGCGTACTTTTCTTTTGAACTCCTCAACAGATCAATAATTTCAAGATTTACCTTGAGTGAAAGTGGTGTAAGACAGCGCATTACATGGATTAATCGAACACGAGTGGGAGGTTTATATTACTACTCAAACATGTAATTGCGATATTTATGGATTGTGTGGTGCATTGGGTAGTTGCAATAAGCGAATTCTCCAGTTTGTGGATGTTTAGATAGATTTCAGCCTAAAGATCCAGAAAGATGGCAAAATGCAGATTTGTCAAATGGGTTTGATGGCAGAACGCCCTTGAATTGCCAAAATGGAGCCGTATTTTTCAAGAATTCTGGTATTAAATTGCCACACACAATATTCTTGGTTTAACGAAAGTATGACACTGACTGGGTGCAAGGTAGCATGCCTTAGAAATTGCTCTTGTACGGCTTAATCTAGCTTGGATATAAGTACAGGGGGAAGTGGATGTCTACTTTGGTTTCAAGACCTAGTTAACATCAAAGATGAATACGATTAAGGCAAAGATGTTTAAGGCTGGAAACAGTCCAACATTTCATTAGTGGGCAGCATAAGATTCTTGAAAATGACTGGCCCGGCTTTGTTGAATAACAAAGAAATTGAAGACAAGTCCAAATTCATTTAAACAACTCTATATTTATTTATAGTATCCATTTTGTAGGAATAAAAACATTATAGAAAGTCACAGAGAGAGATTTAGAAAACCCTAGCCACAATGGAAAATGACAAGGATAGTGCTGTAAAACTTGTAAGGTTCTGGGTTAGTCCATTTGTTCATCGGGTCAGCCGGTCAGGTGGGCTCTAAAACTGCAGGGCATTGAATATGAATATATTGAAGAAGATATCTTTAACCAGAGCCGTCTACTTTCAGAACTGAATCCTGTCCATGGAAAGGTTCCTATCCTTGTTCACATTGGAAAACCATTACCAGAGTCATTCGTTACTCTAGAACCTAGAGTACATCGGCGAGTATGGAAGCAGAATCCTTTGCTGCCTTAGAAATTGCTCTTGTACGGCTTATTCTAGCTTGGATATAAGTACAAGGGGAAGTGGATGCCTACTTTGGTTTGTACAACAAGAGGTTTTTTCTTACAGTTCCATTTTTTAATCCTATGACCTATTTATAGCTTCAGATGTCGGTGGAAATTGTGATCCAATTTCATCATTCTAGATTATTCTTCATGTGAAAAAAATAATAGCTACACATTTTACATGTTTCCCTATTATATTTTAGGAAGATTATATTCTAGAAAGAGCATCATTGTTTTATCCCTCGTCCTTGATGCTAATTTCAGTAACTTCAATTATCTCTCCCAGCAATTTAAAAAAAAAAAAAAATGGGTTGAATCATAACCTTGAGGGCGCCTATCGCCCCGCCCCTAAAGCTTTGTGAGGGAGATAAATCGTGGGATGTACTCCAACAGATCAAAGAACAAGAGCTGTCTGTACACTGCGCCTACAAGGAGTCCGATTTCATGTTTCAAGAATCGAACCCCACACTGCGACTGCCAGCAAAACATGAGATAACCTCACTCCTTTCCTTTGCACCACTCGGCTATGCCCCGATGAGCATGTCTCCCAGCAATTTAAACTTTACTTGTGGTAGTGTCTTCATGAAAATAGCTGCTAATTGATTTATCTCTTTATTTACTTCATATTTTCTGACGAAGTGATATTTGATATCTTTTTTGCTGATAAATTAGCTTGATTTTTTTTGTTTTAAACAACAAAAAATTTTGCATATCCAAATTTTTGACCGTCCTTCAAACAACTTTTTCTTTTACAAATGTCACATTCGGAGTATCAATGACGTGGCTCGGCCCTTGAGCTCACGAGCTCAGATTTGTCAAAGCACAAGCTCATGCTCGTGGGTAGAGCTTGGCTCCCCCCTTGTCCTTGTGAGGATACTTAATTAAATATATTATTAACATTACGAAGAAACTCAATTATTCTAAATGCAATTATTTTTTTATGCATTACCTATGGTGGATCTATATGGTGACCAGTTGCACCAATGTAACATTTTTTTTATTAATACCTTCTCATAAATCAGATGTCAAAGATATAACACCACCATATTTTTATAAATCAAGTATTGACTTTTTTTTCCGGTTCTTATGAAATAATAATGCAATCAAAACAAAAAAATGGTTTCTACTTTCTGGAATGGACGTTGGTTGAAGATAATATTGCACGAATTCTTGAAATATTTGTTGTCCACTATACTTAGCAGCAACTCAGCACTAATTATGGACTTGACCATTCCAATATCCATGTGCTGAGTGTAGTAGAACTAGTACTACAAGGAGTACCGAAATGAAAGTATATTTGTGTTTGACCTATAACTCTATATTTGGCCAAATATTTCTTGTAATGCATGTTGAGGTGGTTAGTTTTGATTCCTTTTATCGTGCCAATTTTATCCGGCAATACTTACATATTATTTTGGATTCCTATGTCCGTCTACTAGAAGATCTATGGAAACCAATTTGAAATGTTTACAACATTTCTGAGTTAGTTTGAATTTTCGCTTACCTCTTGTATCGATTGCGTCAAGTCCTACTTCATCTATGTCATCCAAATCAATTGGATTACTACTCCAATGCAAATATTCAATCCAGAAATCATCGAGAATTGGGATGTTATTAAGACTGGTAAAATCATTGTTGAACATAGAATACGTAGATTGTAGTTTCAATGGTGTATTACCTCCACCAAATATAGCATCAACATAGCTATTGGGATCCATTTGTATAAAAAGAAATTAGAAGGTATAAACAAAAAATAGCAAAAAGAGGAAAAATTGAATTGAGAATGAAGTGAGAAAATATGAAATCAGAAAAAAAAATATAAAAAAAAATAAAAAATTGTGTAACTTGTGTTTATATGAGTAATATTGAATTGAATGATAAGGAATTGAATTCAGAATTAGAGTCCATTAAAGTTTATTGGTAAATGACATTTGTACCCATGTAGCCTTAAAAATTATTACCATTGTATCCTTAATTCTTACCTATAAATATAGGGCTTTGGTTTTCAATAATACACACAAAAAGTTTATTGAGTTTTCTCTATTCTCTTTGAGTTTTCTCTATTCTCTTTTCCTCTCATTTTATAACACGTTATCAACACGAAACTCTTAGAAGGTAGTAATTTTTTTTTCATAATCATTTATCACGTATATCAAAATTAATTTGATAATACGTGAATTTTACATATACATATGTTGAATCTGTAATACGTGATCTCATCTTTCTCGAT